TTATCTATTATTATTATATTTAATAATAAAAAAAATATAAAGTTAAATATATTCTTAGGGAAGTACTATAAATTAGATAATTTTTGAGAAAGGAAGGGAGGAGACCTAACTAGTGATATCTCATATTTTACTAATTAACTATAATTTGAATTTTTGAGAAGTATTATGTCTGTACAAATATTATTTAAGCAAATTTTGAGAGTAATTTATTATATAAAATATGATAATTTAGACCAGCACTATAATAGTAACATATTATAATTATACTAGCCTAAATTATTATAATACTAGTTATTCAATATTCTTATTGATCAATATAATCATGACAGTAAATATTTTTATTTAGTATCTAAAATGTAATCTTTCATATACTTAATATCAGTGCTTTTAGATTTAATATTTGCAGAAGAAAGAAATATATAAATACAGAGTTAGTTACTAAGTTCTGGCATCCTAGCAACTGATTAAGTGTAACAAAAAACTCTATATCTGTAGCAGTTGAAGGTATAATTGCTAATTGTATTGAGATTATCTTTTGAATATTATCTTAATAATGAATTGAAGGAATAGGTGTTGGCTATATTGAGGAAGTTTTTTGATGATGAACTGGAAGCATAAATATTGGTTGTATTGAGAAGATTTCTTAAATATCTCTTTAACAGGGGTGAGTAGTTTTTTTGTGATTTGTAATCATTTTAAAAGTTGGAAAATATTTGCTACATGTTGTACAGCAAAGTCTTTGATGCATCTTAGAAGAGATAAATGAGTAATATTTATCATACTTAGAAAGTTTCACTTTATTCATATACTATAGTATATGGATAGGATTCAAATAATAATTATCTTTTCCCTTAGTAACAGGTGAAAGAAATTCTTTATTCTCCTTTAGAAACTCAATAGCTTCTATTATACATATTTTATTATAATATATGTGATTATTACACTTTTTCATATTCAAAGAATATCAGCAAATTTGGATATATTTTTCAATCTATTATTATACAGGTTACTCTTTTCCATTTTTTTTGAAAGGATCTATGTTCATATTAATGTAAAATATCTATATAGATTTTTATGTACTTTATCATAATACCAAAGTTTACAAAGTTGCTGACCCAAATATTTAAAATTTTTTCTACATAGGTTTTTATCATAAACTTTTTCTTGACAATTGAGATGAGAGCCATAATTATCAATAAGAAGTTTTATACTGATCAACTTTTCAGATAAGCTTGACATACTTCATTCTACTGGATTATAGGCTAATTATCCTGGAGCATATGTTCAAACTGAAAGGTAGTCTAGATTAAAGATGGCTCCTCAACTAGTTGCGACTTGCAGCAGCCAATCAGAGAGTTGCAACAGAGTTGCAGCAGCCAATCAGAGAATTGTGACAGAATTGCGGCTAGTTGCGGCTCCCATTACTAGTCTAGATCCATCTCCTTGAAAAATCTGCAGTATTCTATCATGTTTTTAACATGTCTTGGATTCTCATCTGAATCTCCATCCACAAGAAGTATCATAATAGATTTCAATTTGCTCTTCCATATCAAATCTTATGCAAAGTTATTCATCATTTGTATTGTAATTAAGTCAAACATATGAGATATAGATGACGTACTAATAAAATATTCTGATCTTACAAAAATTACAAGCTATCTTTGATGAAGACTTTTATTAGAATCAAGTAGATTAATCAAAAGATATACAGATAGTACAAGCTTCATCTTTGAACTGTGTGGAAAATCATGATCTGAAATGGTGATGGGTTCTTTTTGAGTTTGAATTATTTGAAAAGTTCTGCCAATTGCAGGTATACCAAGTTTAACTTTAGCTTTATCATCTTGTGATATAATTATAGTATGATTAGAAAATGCTTGAGCTAATTCTCTAGTTATTTTTACTAAAGCTAAATAATAATATTCATCTAAGTGATATTTCATTTCTGTTTGTGTAACTACACTAATTGCTATATGTGCTGGATAATGATATTGATATATGGCAAAAGTGCTAGTATAGCAAAATAGTATATATGTTAAAAGATATTATTTTGATAAGTATATAAAGTATTTTTCTTCCATTTTTTTCTTTAAATATTTGATAGTATACACCTTAATAATTGACTTTTTTTTTCATATGTCTGCAGTACTAAATTCTATATAATTATGCAATTGATCAAGTAAATCTGAATTTTTTTGAAGCTCTAAAGATCTTCCAGATGTATTATAGATTTCAATAATTCCTTTTTTGTGCAATAACTTGCATTTTTTTATATGCAATTTTTTTTGATTTTTTGCATTATATTTAAGTCTAACAAGATGTTAACTTTCTTGTTCAATTACAGCCTGTTTTTGTTATAATTTCTCTAATAAGATTTTCATACTTTACAATCTCACTTTCTACTTTATTAATTTTTTTAATAGCTTGACATTGGACTGAAGCATTAGATAGAATAGTTAGTATTTGGCAAGAGGTTGGAATTATTAAAGAAATTGGTGATAATTGAGTAATATTTATATGAATAGTTGTTAGAAATCCAATTATAGTCAAAATAAATAGAAATTCCATTAGATATTATTTAATTTGGACTTTAATCTTGCTTATTTGTTGGTGATAAATATTTTTTCACTCTTTATTTGCATTTTCTATTAGAACTTGCTTGTTTGATTATATATTACCTTCTTTAATCATGATATAATAAGAAAATACATTGATAAATTCATAATAAAGATATTAAGATGTAGTATAAAGATATGTTTTATTGAAGAATGAAGCAGAAAGAAAAGTTTGTATTCTAAGTAAATATTATAGTCTTGTAATAAATTGAATTTAAATGTGTTAAAAAAATTATCATTCTCGTGTCTGTTATATATGTGTTACAATTATAATTTAGACTGGCACTAATTTTATAGTACTAGCCTGAATCACAGAAAGGAGAGAGGGAATAGTTCTCTAATAAAATTAAATCACCTAATTTCTGGCACTTCTCTTAATAAAAGAATTTATTATTATAAATTTTAATAGCTTGTCAAATAATTTAGATTATTTTTTCTACAATATTATCTAAAAATCTCTTAAAAATATTATAAATAAATTAAAATTTTTGATAATTTATATACTTAATATAATAAGATTATTATATTTTAAGTAAAAAGATATATAATAATTTTGATTAATTATATTTCTTTTAATTTAGATCTTTATTTTATATTTTTTATATTATATTTTAGTTTTATATTACTTTTATAAAAATTAACTTTATTTTAATTATTATATATTAAATTAAATTAAATTAATTTAATATATATTATTATAAATTATTATTATATATTATCTAATTATTAATTTAGATTATATTTATTTTTAATTAATATTTTTTTATATTTTTATTTCTTCTTAATTATTATTAATTATATTATATTATTAATTATTTACTTCATATTTTATTATATTTATAATTATAAATAAAGAAATTTATAGTAAAATTAATAAAAAAATATATCTATTATATTATTATTATTATTAGATTTATATTTAATAATAAAATTATTTATATTATATATTATTATTATTATTAAAAAACTTATTAAAATTTATGAATTTTAATAAATAATATAATATTAAAATCAAATTACTAATTAATTATTAATATATAATATATTTTTATTATTATATAATTAATATAAAAAGATTAATGCATTAGATAAATATTAATAAATTATTTTTTCAAAATAAAATTTTAATTTTGTCTTATTTAAACTTATTTAAATTAGATTATTAAATATTAGGAATTTATTTAAATATAAAAATTTTTATTATATATTTTTTATAAAAAAAATTTTACTAATAATAAACTTTTTGAATTCTTATTTCTTAAATTTAACTATATAAATTTTGATTAAAATTATTATAAAATTATATAATAAATAATTTAATTATTTAATATTTTTATAATTATTATTTAATTTTTATGAAACTTAAAATATATATTTATCAAATCTAAAATAATCTGCTTGTATAATTTAAAGATTTAATATTATAAATTGATAGTAATAATATTTAAAATATCTTTTTTTCTAAAAAAATAATTTTATTTTAGTTTTTTTAATAAAGTAATGCTTTATTTATTATTAAATTAAAGTATAATAAAATAATTAAAATAATATAAAAAGTTAATTTAGATCATTTTTTATTTAATATAAAAAAATTATAAAGATTAATTAAATTTAAATGATTTTATTAGAAGCAATTATTAATTTTATTTTAATGTATTAATCTTTTTGTATCAGATCATAAATTTTTTAAATTTTGATATATGATAAATTTATTAAATATCAAATTGTTAATTAATTATTAATATATAATTTCTGAATTTTGATATTTTAATATTTCAAAATATTTTGTCAAGTTTTCTGTTATGATTGTATACTAAAATAAGTAATTGCTATAAGTATATATTTAAAATAAGTAAATAATTATCATTTGTAATATATTAATTTCTAATGAATCTGATAATTAGAATAATCTGAAAAAGTCATCTACATCCTTGATCTTGAGATTTGATTGGTTTATACCTTAAAAAATTATGTAACGCAAAATGTTCAAAGGGTATATAAAAAATAATATTTAACGCTAAATTCAAATAACAAAAATGAATATCAAAATCAAATAATCTAAGAAGCAAACGCGATTCATCAACTTTATATGGTCAAAGCAGTAAAGCCTTCGATTTTGTTAAGCGTAAAAGAAAAAATTTCGTTATGGGCATAAAAGAAAGGATACAAGACTAAAATTTGCCTGTATCATTTCAGAATTTCGCAGTCACGAGATTTCTTGTTGCGACGGCAACAATATTTAAAATAACAGTACATCTGAATTAGTTATCGGTATACGTCTTAATTAATAGAAGATTAGAATTCATCGTATTATCGCATTTTTCTACCCAATGAGAAACAACATTTAAGCTTTCATCTGCTACTTGCGACTTCTTTGTCAGCCAATCAATATTTGCATCTTGATGTTTTTTCGCGCTCTTTGATATTGATAATGAATCTAGTACCATCTTGATGTTTTCGTAATGAATATACCTAAAAAAAACCAAATTAGTTTGATCTTAAAAATAACGAATTATGCGATAGAAAACGAACTTTAAGTCATCCAGTAACTCCAAACATTTGTCAATTTTTTGGTCATCCGAACTACGATTATTGATCGTTTTTTGCAATTTTATTTTTCTAGCATCCATGTTTCCTTGCAGCTTAGTCAGGTCTACAATGTTTTTTACAATCAGACTTCTCAATAAAATATGATACTTATTCACTCTTTTTCTTCCCTTATTCTTAACAGCAGTCTTCCAAAAAAGTTCGTTTTTGCAAAAAACTACCATCTCGTTGAAAATCTGTTCTAGGATTGGGTCTTTATCTTGCCGAGATTTTTGTCGTAGGAGAGCACGGCGAAACCAGCGTTGAATTCGAGTAGCCGATTCTTTGGCCTCATGAGAATCGTGAATTCGGTGAAACCAAGCTTGAATCTCTGTGGCCAACTCTTGGGGAATTTCTTTGGAAATTCCAAACTTTTCATTGTTCTGATCATGCTCATCCATATGATTATCTGGAAGTTGATTTATTGAGATATCTGAAGAATCACTTTCTTCAGTAGCTATTGGTGCTATGATGTCTCGAAGAGCAGAATGAAATTGCTTAACAGAAGTATATTTAAGTTTCACAATCCCATATTGTTCCAAATTAGAAAATTTTGACACGCCTCCCCAATGATAATGGAGGATTACCAAAGAGTCGCAACCTGTCTCATTGAGATCATTGTGAAGAGTGATCGCAAGACGACTCATGCAATTTTCATTCAAATATTTCATGAGTTTTGAAGAAAATAAATTGTCTTTCAAAGTTTTATCCCAATATTTAAAAATATATAAAGAGCTTGCTTGCAGAAGTAGAGTCGTTTAGACTTATGAGAACCAAAAGTCGTATTAATCGAAGGATAATGTTCAAATGAACTTGATAAGTGGGAATCAAGTATAGAATCTGTTGGATTTGATCAATGGAATTATTGATTTCATCCAGATAACTAGCTCTGTTGTAACCGTGTTGGTTGGGAACAAGTGGCTTTGGAGTAAATACGTCAAAATAATTAATCAAATAAGCTCGAGGAAGACAAAAATCGCAATACCAGGAGCAGCCGCAAAAACTAAAGATGTTTTGAACTCCATAAGAGATATAAGGTCACAAAATGCATCAGGTGTATTGATTTTGACTAGTTTAGCATTGTTGATAGCGTATTGAATAAAAATTTCTATGTGCTGAATCGCATCTAACACGCGATTAGCATAGAGATTTGAGAAGAATTTTGTAAGTTTTTCTCCAACAGGAACAGCTTCATATCTATGGTAGTAAGCATAACCGATGGGTAACTGCTTACGGTGTCTTAGTGTTATTCTCCGTGACATTTTCCAATTGAATTCATCAATCCACCAATAATCTCGTAATTGGTGAAGAACAAGAATGCATTTTAACATGATCGAAAAGTCAAAGTCATTCTCATGCATTTCAGAAAGCAAAACCTGACAGAGATTAATTAATCTAGAACGTGTGTGCTTAGAAAGCTTGGCAAGCATTGTGTAAGTGACTTCTGGACAGCTTGTTTGAGGAGATTGATAACGAATATGAAATCTCACAAGTCTTTCAGCCCACCACCTTTGTGCTCCACAAACCGTTTTACTTTGTTGTTCTTTAAGAAGACGGCGAGAATATAATACGTTTAATTGTTGCATTACATCGATCTGAAGGCAAGCAAGTTCAAAACGTTTGAGCAAAATTGAAGGTGTTGGAACAACATGATGCTTTCGACAATATTGATTTGTACAGGATGTAAAATTGAAACAGATTTTAGAACTTATATCTTGAATTTGTCTACCATATAGATTAGCCTCCTAAATGTGCTCATAAATATATGAAGCAAGGAATTGCGAGATAGTCGAGTTTAGATTATTCTCGTCATATACATCCCAATTTTCCGAGATTTCTGCATTAGTTTGATTTAGCAGATGAATAAGGTGATTGTCAGAAGATATTTTTCGTTTTTGTGGACGATTCTCAACTTCGTTTACAACGAAAACATTCTGAAATTCTTTGTTAATTTTTGTAAGATTTTCATTTCCTCGAGGAGCTAAAAAAGGAAAGGCCAATTCACATATTCTCAATAGACAATGCAATCTTTCCCGCCAGTTCTCAGCCTTAATTTTATCTTTCGACATATCCAGCCATATGGTTACCGCACGAAACTCGTTGACGCGGTCTTCACGACTTCTGAACAATTTCATAAACTTGCGAATTCCATCAAGATCCGAATTCAGATAAGCCGAATATAATCGGAGCTCTTCTCCTAGGTTTCTCAATTCTTCAGATCTCTTTAGTGACTGTGTATCGATATTGATGGCCTTAGAAAGTTGGTCATTTAGATCAATTAAATCTTCAGGAGAATCATTTAGTCTTCCGAAATTTATCATTGTTATTTTCAATACTTTGACTCTACATAAATAGAGGCAACATTGTAAAGCCTCTATGATATCCTCATCATTGTCAGATTGAAGGAATGTATCAATCGCTTCATTAAACTTTCCACGAAAACGTAAGTCTTCAGCAGCGTCACGAAATTTTCCATTTTTTTTGTATATCTCCTGAAGTTCTTCAGGAGCATGATCTCGAAGGAGATTATTTTGTTCCTCCTGGGTTGGAAGAACGGATAAAGCTTTCTCGCTCATTTTTTTGTTGTTCACCCGGCGGTAATGAATATTAACAAGACGTATTATACGGTTAAATATTTTCTTGTCAATTTTTTCTCTGTGACTTATTTAAAAGAATATATACTATGTCGTTTCTGAACTTATTACATAATATATATGCAACTTTGAATAATTGAATTTCAGGGTAAGGAGGCTTACCTTTGCATCAGATTAAGGACGTTTTCATAATATCGACCATCTTTATAAGCAAGAACAGCTTCGGTGTACTTACTCGCCATTTCAAAATACTTTCCCGCATATTCAAAATTAGAAATCTTAAGATAACAACATGCGGCGTGCTCAAACATGCTTCCTCCAAGGTAAATTTCAGCAGCTTTTTCATACATGTTGATATCCTGTATGTTTGCATATTTTAAGATTCAATTTAACATATTTATATATATATTAAATTTAAAAAGATACCTCATAGCATGAAGCCTCTTGTATCGGCCGAGAACATTCTCGAAATGCATCAGCTGCACGATAAAAATTTAAAATCACTGTGTCCCAATCGGAATCATTTATAGAGGCTCTTGCTTTTTGTCGAAGATGATAAGCCTTAGCTCGCGCAAGTTTTTCGTCATTACCACTCTTTTCGTAGCAAAAAATAGCCTGAGATAATTTTACATTTTTCAGTTTCCCATGCCATTCAATTACATACCAACTTTGAAATTAGAGTTTAACCTGTTTATATTTTCGTGATTCGAAAAATTTATTCCCCTCTCGATTCCATTCTGCTGAACTGCTCGTTCTAGCCAACGTAGGGAAAGAGTTGGTCTCATCCTCACTATGGATCACTTTGACTAACCCATTTCGTTCCCAGTATTTGCAGATTGGTTCAATATATTGATCATTCTCGTCGAATATCCAAATGTGTTGCCGCGCCCTGGTGACTGCAACATAAAGATGCTTCAATTCAGAGGAAAGGATGTAATGTTTCTCGTGAGAAAATGTTTGAACTCCTTCAGATTGGTTTCCCAAAGCAGAGAGAATAACGCGCCACTATAATATACATATATAGCCAAGACTTTCAATAAAGATTTGATATAAATGGTAAATACACGCATAGCCTTTACCTTTAGACCGCCAGGCGAATCAGTAAAGAAATTATATAACAACACGTCATTAAACTCCATTCCCTTCGCTTCAAACACTGTCAACACTAGCCCCTTCTTTCCAATTAGATCCTCGACTCGTGATTTCGAATTTTCGTCACGTACGATAATGACTTGTTCGGCTCCGAACTCGATATAATTTTCAGGATTTTCACCGGCAGAAAAGAGCTTAAGGTGAAAAGTTTCGGACTGAAACCCTTTAAAAACAATAGGCTGAGGACCGCCAACCTCACTACGTTCACGTGACAAACGGTCAATAGTTTTAGGAAAAAACTCCAAAATGAGATCAATTATTGATGCAGCAAGTCGAAGGATTCCATTATGAGAACGATAGTTAACGTTTAACTCAAATCGATTTGGTTCCATAGTATCACGAAAGATATTATTATTAGTTTGAATTCGTTCGAGTTCCCATTTATGCATCAAGGCGCGTATATCTATTGAAGTTATTGTAAGTTAATCGCAGAACATCATTTTTGAGTTTCAAAATAAGAATGATGCATGCATACCCTCAAATCGAAAAGAAGAGCCTTTGGCTATACATTGTGCTGTATCTCCGGCCAAAAAAATGCTATCAACGCGATCAAAGATTTTCAAGATAAGGCCAAAATCAGCGATCTGGTTGTCTTGGCATTCATCAATGTATACTTCATGAATGTGCGAACCTCTGAATGTTTTTTTCATAGCACAACGTAAAATAGCTATCGTTCTATACCAGCAAAAGTTTAATTAATTGTGAATTCCATCAAAGACTAACAATTGTATGCTCCACAGACTCACCGATCTATCAAGTCATAATCACCATTACGTGCTTTCATTTTTTCATATCGCTGAAACAAATCGTAAATTTTATCCCGGATGTGGCAAAATACAGGATATTTTTTAGTGCTTATAGCCTGATACTCTTCCCTTGATAAATACTTTCCTTCGGAATTCGATCCCTAAAGAAATTAAGAAAAAATTATGTGAGTAAGTATAAGCAGAATAGAGTTTTTTATATTGCTATATACCTTAATAATAGAGAATTCGGAGTAGACCAGCTCATGATCCAGCTTTTTATCATTGAAACGTTCCCAATATCTTTGCTTAAATACATCATAATCCACAAGGTGAGCCCATGATTTGCCGGCGGTGTTAACAAAAGATGGTTTGAGATGAAATTCTTCCTCCTCCTCATCATCATAAGCATCCTCATTATCTATTTTCGATTGTTGAATAAGCTTCTGAGCATCAATTCCATATGTTCCCTCAAGCATTTCGGTAAATTTTTTATAAGTAATAAACAATGGAAAATGGTCTTTTGTCAAATGATAGAATGAGTTTGGTATGTCATTTAGATCATTGTCTTCATCTTCTTCAACCATATTATTATCAACTAAGTCATTATCAAAATCTTCCTCTTCTCTCTTTTTAGCGTACTCATAGAATTGAGCTTCCGACATCTTTCTCTCGGCAAGCGCCGCAGATTTTTGCAGCCTTTTAAAGCATTCCTTAATCCGACGACATAGATGGTGGCTCACTGTAATGAAGACTTGCCTTTTGTATGTGATTGGCATATCGTCGTATGTATAATATGAATTGTTGAGATAGGAGGCGATTAGTCGATACATTATGCATGTGGTCTTGCCTGTACCTGCGAAAATAGATCAATAAGATTTTTCTAATTATGACGGCTAAATCTATACAACTAACCTGATCGACCAATTATGATAGCTGAGTTGTGATTGTTGATGATATCATACTCTATCTCTGATACCTGAAAAGTGAAGTCGGTTCTACGCATCACCAGTGGCTTAAGCAAGCGCTACAAACAATATTGGATTACCTTAATTGAAAAACCTTCAATTTCAAAGTCTCCATTACTATTTTACCTTTGATAATGGAATAAATTTACCAGCAACAAGCATTTTGTGGATTTCTAACAGTATCTCATCATCTATTTGACAACTGCAAGGCTCTTTCTCAGTGGATTTGAGTTTTTCATCAACCTGTTGAATAGTACAACGGCATATTGTATATACTTGATGGAGCATCGCAAGATATTCTAGTAGTTTGTCAATACGTTCTTGGTCGGTAGTGACAGCCCAAACTTTCACGAGTTTACTAAACGGGTAGTTATCGATAAAAGGACTATAATTAACTTGCAAAAGGATCTTTAGACCGCTGTGATCATGAGGCTCTGTTTCATAAACATGGATTGAAAGAGATGGAATTATAAGTTTCAGCTCGAGCTTGTCCCAAGCTCCAAAAGATATATTCCCAAGTTTTTTCAAGACAGCTTTAATCTTCTGCAAATTCTGTGGTATTTTCAAATGAGCCATATCCTTTATTGCGTCTTCACTTATCAGGATATTCCAAGGCCCAAGTTTATCATCTTCATCAAGCTCAAATGGTAGGCGAAAGACGAGTTTTGAGTTTTGAAAATTTGTTAGCTCCTCTTCCACGTATGAAGAGTATTTGTCAGGGGAAAAACGGATGAGAGCTTGTTTCTGACAACTTATACATGGCGAAAATTTTATTAAAGCCTAATTGAAATTATAGAACGAAGAATTAATTTATTTTTTACAAATAAAAAAAATAATCAGGCTTACTTGAAATAAATTTAATTTTCGTTGTTCAAACGCGTGCATATAGTGAACATCCGGTGAGTTTTTGGGCACTGACATTCCCAACAGTGTGAAATGTGATTCATCGTTGTCGCACAAACATTCATTCAGGCGGAATTTATCTAACAATGCACTACAAGCTTTATATACAGATAATGCCTCCGACAGCCAAGGTGAAATATTCTTATGTTCGGAACATTCTTCCACAATGGCCGCAACCATATCTACCGCCTTCAATAATGTTTCTTTCTCTGTTATCCTATTATTTTTGCTCAATTCAGACATGACACGTTTAAGACAATGACGACCATGCGACCTTGATACCAAAACCCTTAGGATACTGTCCGAATCCAGGATTTTGTCTAAAATATCTTTAGTCGTCTGAATAGTAATCTTATTCTGAGCTTGCCAAAGAAGCTCAAGGCAGTGATCAAATAATTCTCCAAATCCCGGAATATCACATTGATGAAGGTTTTGCATAACTACATACTTAATTAAAAGAGAAGGAAATTTTTGAAACGCTGAAGTATATTTCGTTAGCAAAGTGGGACGTTTTGAATACTTCAATAATTGGGAAAGGAAAGCTTTCAAGAACGGTATATATAATTCGAAAGAGTAGCACGAAAGTTCCGACAGTTCATTGATGAAATCTTCGAGCTCGCTACTCGATGCAGTGCAACATCTTTTCACCAAAATGTGCAGTTTCTCGTCGTCGTTTTCAGAATCCGTAAGTTCTTCGAACAGTTCAATAAGAGAATTGTCTTCCATTTATGAATTCTCTGACTTCTATTTGAAAGATGGTTTTTCCAACATAATATTGTTACACTAAATTATATGCCGCAGCATTCAATACATGTACTGTATGTTGATCAAAAATGAATTACATCTACCGTTAAGCGCCCGAGAACCCAGACTCTTTCCGAATAACAGTTTGCATGTGATACTTTGACATCCCGCTAAGGAAAAAATAATAATAAAAAAATTAGAACGTACCAAAACAATGAGTGTCCAAATTAGGGCATTTAGATGGTAACGGTAGCAAAGTGAAAATTGGCCGATCATGTGATTTTTAAGGAAATGCAATATACAGTATAAAATATTAATAGCATTTCAATTACGAGGATTAGGCACAGAATTAAAGATATATTGTTCATAAAGTTTGATAAAAAATTTCGCAAGGAAAGTGGTTTCATAGAGAAAATTTCGAGTTACATGTACAAGCTTTTTTCAAAAATAAAAAACTTTTTTAATTTTCCGTTACACTTAAAGGTCACGTGACCAGCCGTTTTCATATCCAAATTAGGGCATTTAGAACATAACCAACATATTATTGGCTAATCAATTTTTGTTCTCTAGATTTCAGCATCACCCGCCACAAATTATTTTGTTTTGACCATTGCATGTAGTGTTTCAGTATGTTAACTCTATCCACCATGATAAATGGCACCTTCTAAGATACTTACATGGTTAAGCAAATCCGCCACAAAAAAAATGAAAAATTTTTAAGCATAAAAACGCGCTTTAAAGTTCTTCACCATTTTTTATAAGGATCTTGTATATTATACTCGTGTGTGTTTAAACCGTGTATAGTGTATATTATTGTAAGGTACGTATCACTTGATTATGCATTATCTTATATCTTGTCTTTCTTATGTAATATAAGAAAAAAAAACTATTATTTTTAACGTTATTTGGCTGTGCGCAAATTATCCTAACCTGAATACTCGCTATGTGACTATTGCGGGATAAGATATGCAATTCCAAAAATAAAAAAATAAAAAACAATATATTATATATTTACTTAATTAAGATTTTGAATGTTATTTAATTCAAGTTAACTTAATTTATTATTTCTTAATTCTCAATTATTTTTACTTTCAGTTTGATTTTTAATGGCAAATCATGTTTATTACTTGATTTTACTTTCAGAATTAGTTTGATTTTCAATAAATAAGTTATATTTATTTTAAATTCTGATTTCAATTAATAAATTGGTTTTTTTTTATTTTTAAACAATACTGTATAATACTGTATAAATAATAATAATAAATAATATTATAATAAATAATATTAATATATAAATTATATAAAATAATTACGAATTTATTATTTCATATTAATATAAGATTTATATTCATAATTTTATTATTTAGTCTGTATATTATAAATAATATATATTATAATAAATAAAAGATAAAAATTTACTTATATTAGTTAATTTATAAATAATATTAATTTATTAAAGTTTTAATATATTTTTTATTATTCTTATTAAATATAAAGAATATATTCTATTTTTTTTTTAAATATATAAATCAAAAAATATATTATAATAAAAATTTCTTAGTATTTATTTTATTAAAATCAATTATTATTTTTAAAAATTTTTAGAAATATAATAATTATAAAAAGTATAAAAATATTATTAATTATTTATTATAATTATTAAATATTTTAAAAAAGAATTATTAATAAAAAATCAATTTATAATTCTAACTTTTAATAAAAATTTATAATAAATTATAATTTTTATAAATTATAAAAATTATAATTTTTATGAATTTATAAAAATTAAATTTATATAATATAGTGATGACTAAAAGTAATAACTTAGAAATTAAATTTATTAATAAATTTAATTTTGAATATATTATTTTTGATTATTACTATAATTATAACAATAAAAAATAATTTTATTAATATAAAAAGATTTGTATCTCAAATAAATATTAATAGATTATTTTTTTAAAATAAAATTTTAATTCTGTCTTATTTAATTAAGTTATTAAATATTGGAATTATTTAAATATAAAAATTTTTATTATATATTTTTTATAAAAAAAATTTTTACTAATAATAACTTTTTTAATTGTTATTCTTTAAATTTTACTATATAAAATTTGATTAAAATTAATATAAAATTATATGATAAATAATTTAATTACTCAACTTTGAATTTTAATATTTTTATAACTTTTAATTCAATCTTTATAAAATTTAGAATTATATTTATCAAATCCAAGATAACTTGCTTATATAATTTAAAGTTCTAATATTATAAATAGATAGCAATAATATTTAAAATATCTTTTTTTTAAAAAAAATAATTTTATTTTATTTTTTTTAGTAAAATAATATTTTATTATTATTAAATTAAAGTATAATAGAATAGTTAAAATAGTATAAAAAGTTAATTTAGATTATTGTTTATTTAATATAAAAAAATTATAAAAATTAATTAAAATTTAAATAATTTTTATTAGAAATAATTATTAATTTTTAT